GATTCTGAAACTACTTACAACTATTACTAATACCTTTGAGAAACAATATTGGAATTTCATGCTCATAGCAAAACTGAACTTCAGAAGCCTTTCATGGTCACATAGATCAAGAGTCCATTTCACATTGCTCTCACATTCACTGTGCAGACACATCATTTCTCATTTTACACATAATTGTTATGAATGTAAAATTAGGGGATCTGAAGCAACGGGCAGATTTCAAAGCTCCTGACATACCCCTGTATCATTTCACCCTTCCATCTAAGATTTAAAAACACTCCTTTTCCCTGGCTTCTCTCTAAATAACTAACACTAGCTCAGCCCCTGTAATTGAGAAGAGGGTGTTGTTTTTACTTCCTTTAGCACATTGGAAGAAAAGCATTCCAAGCAAAGGGTAAGTGATGTTCTTAGGAAACCAGAACATACGCTGAGGTTTCCGAGCTCCTTAGAGCACAAAGTAGGACAGAAAGCCTTGGTTAATGAGCCTCCCTGTGAGTCCCCCACGTGCTTGTGTCTCTTTCAATGAGAACTGTAACACAAAGACAGGGCTCGCTGCCAGAAAGACACTTTCAGTTTTGAATAAAACTCGAGTAGGAATATGTCTTTTCTGTGTGTTCCTTCTTTCTTGAGAGTCAGGGAGAACTTTCAGGATTATCTGAAATGTATGGAGGTAAATGAGGTGTCACTATTCTCCCCATTTTTGGAGGAGTCACATGAAACTCAAGCAAATTAAAGAGACTTATAATTAGTCATAACAATGGTTCCTCCTCTTTGGACCCTAACTTAGGGTTCGTTTTCAAATACGCCTCTCTAGAAGAACAATTTAAATGTAATATGGAAGTCCTCATATAATTCAGAGGAGCAAATAGCAAAATTTCAGCACCTTGTACTTCCCCTGCTGTTCTCTTTTACTCTATGTACCACATCCATTATCTGTAAATAAAGCACAGCTTCCTTTGCAGTCAATGAGCAGTCAAGCGTGCTAACAAGGACGCCTCTAAATAGTGCCATTCTGCTGTGCTGCAGAGTGGAGTCCATCAGAGGGCTGCCGGAACAGGGGCCCTGTTTACAAAGGCTCTGAGAACACATTTACAAAAATACCAAATCCACATTCAAGGAAACTTAAGGATATTTTGTTTTGACTACTGGGAAGGAAACAATGATCCACACAGGGACCCAGGTGGTTAATGTACTGTACATTATGACTACAAAGTACAAGACCTCAGTCTCTCAGCTCCGCAGAAACCACAAATTCAGTTGATTGCATAGCACCCTACAGAATAGACTTTAAGAGTCAATGAGCAAACATCTCAGATATCCTTTCAAAGCTTGCCAGGTCACTTGGCTTTTGAATTCTTGCCACTGGCCTGTTATGCAGGAGGGAACTTTGTAATGGTTTCTACTCTGCAAGGCATTCTAAGCCTGTCTCAAATACAAATAGAGAAAATGGCATGAGCCCCTATTTATTGCTATAAAAGATAAATAAATTAGTCCAACTGTAATAGCAAAACAAATATTTTGGACTCAGAAGTGATGCAATCTATAAGCCTAAGGCTTTGCAGTTAATGTAGGTCCCTTGACATTTAAGTCAACTTAATTTGAAGACAAATACCACGATTTCTTAGCTGTGAAAGGGTTCTCTCCCATTAGAGTTTAAAGGTTTTAATTAAACATTGAAACTTCAAAATTGTTCAGAGAAGCCAATGGTTTTCTTCTGTAGATTAACCTGGTTGTGAAGAAGCCTTTCTAAGGCACTGATGGCCCTTCACATTCACTGCTCACACATTTGTAGATTCAAGCATCTTCTTGCGGCAATGACTGAAGAAAGACCATTCACAGCGCCAGAAGACAGTGGGCAGACGTGCAACCCATGTTTAGTGTTTATTTTGAGGCTTTTAGGAATTTTGCCATGATAGAGAAAATCAGTCATTTCTTTAAATCAAAGTGTGGAACAAGTGTTCTATACCCAGTGAATGTTGCTGTCGTATGTCAATAATGTGGTGAATTTCTGAGGTTACTTTCAAGTTATGCCACCGTATCCATTAACAAGAAGATGGAAAGAATGTATCATATTACTCATAGGAAGGTCTTTTTCAGAACATTCTCCCCGCTGAAATGTCAGAATGAAGCGTCTTCTTCCATTGCTATGCTTTGTCAGAGTTTTGGTGACCCATGACACCAGTCAAACATATCTCTACCTGTCTGACACACTGTAAAATCCTATGAGACTTCCTAAGATAGAACTTGCTGACAGATATTTTATGTCTAGACCTGTTCTGATTTACAGAGAGAAGTATCAATGAACAAGAAATAACAATTACAATAAAAGCCAAACTATGGATTTGGGGTGGATTAGACCTAACTTTATAGGTAGCATCCAGTAATTTGATTATGCCAATTTACAATCTTTTCCTCTCTGTATATCAGCACAGAAATTAATGTCTAAAACATCTGCAGATCAATCCCAACTTTGATCTAGTATGCAGTTTTCCAAATCTCCTTTTTTGCTCCTTATATATTCAAGATTATATCAATAACTTGTTTTATGAGAAATTTGTAAAACACTTGCTAAAAATGTTTACCTTCCTTAGAAGTAAAAACAAGCAATGTGTAGCAATATTTATTGATTTAATTCTCCAATTCATTATGCAAAACAGAAAATTACATTATATGCATTAAGAAATGAAGAAATAGTAAAAACAAGACCAGGATAGGAATGAGAATTTACCCAGGCTCTTGCTAATCACTATAAAGTAAACTGTAATCTGCATATGAGCTTTGATAAAGTATTTTTTGAAAACATCATTCACTGTCATTCATAGTTAAAAAACACATTTATAATGTTACTTAGTATACGCATCTATGTGTATGCACATAAATTTGAAACAAAACTCTTACTAAACTTACCCTATGTACTCTGAGACTTTCTATTTTAGTCAATTTAATTTTTAAAATGCTTATCTTGATTCACTAAATTGATTTAATAACCTACTAATGAGTTGCAATCTTCCACAGAAAACATTGCTTTAATCTAAATCTTTAAAAAATGTGAGGTGCTGACTTTCATCTTAATAAGCACAGAGGTGTTAAAAACGTAAGTCTCCTACACATAGATAGTGAATTTGTGTCAAAGCTGTATTCATCTCATTAATGCGGATACCAGTAAGAAAAGATGAAGGTAGTTTGAAAAGCACTTGAGAGGCTTACATAGTTAATGGAGGCATGGCTTCTGAAAATAAGTTTTCTAAATTAGATTTAAGACTAGTTAACTCCCCAAAGAACGCTTAAGTTATAAGACCTCTGGTGGATAACTTCTCTACCAAATTATAAAATCAAAACAACTTAATTTCTGCATTTTAACTTACAGAAAGAGTCGGACATAGTCCAGTTAGGAGGCAACATATCACTTACTGTATAAAAGAATGTTTTTTTTAAGAATTGCTAACTAGATGTTGAATTATTAACTAAGTCAAGGCAAAGGCTAAACTATTTTCCCTGGTATCACACACAGCAACTTGGGGAAGTAGCTACCATCATAGGCCTGAGGGAACAAAGGAAGATGTTGGAAACATTAAAACTTAAACGCTTGGAGGAGCGTCTTTGTGAAGATTAACCTCAGACTTTTCCAGTGCTAGTGTGGGTATCTCTTCTCTGTGGGGGGGCTTGATGAGATCAAATGCTGAATATACGGAAAATGTTGGAAAGACTACAAGTGAGTATCACCTGCTGTGATGGGAAACAACTGATCCAGCCAGAGTGAAGAAGTGATGTGGGGGGAAATCCCTGGAGAAGGAAGAAACCGGGAGGATGCCCTCCGTGGGAACAATTTCCTCTCCCTCTTCTGAGCTTTGCTATCTCCCTCCATGGCCAAGTCTAACAGGGAGCTGCAGGTAAAACAGACCTGTGGTTTGTGAAGCCCCAGCTCCAGCATCACACAGCTGAAAACAGAAGTGAAGTTGGAGTTGAAAGACAATAGTTTAGAAAATGTCACAGCTGCTAACCTTATAGGGCAAGGGAGCAGTGCGCTGTTATGATCTGTGGATTGTTAATCAAGGGTGTCAGCCCAGGATCCAGCAGGTTATCAGAAAAGTTCTAGTGGGGGAGCCGGAATTAAGCCATTTGTTTGCCTTTTTATAAATTTGGAATACATTTTACTTTATCAGAAAGTCATGGCTTAATAAAAAGCCGCAAAGAAAATCAAAATTATTATTATAACGGATACTTTCAGCTTTTCCCATCAGAGGAATTTTTAGGGCCCACCATTCAGACCTATTATATAGTAATATTAGATACATATTTGTCTTATTGGTGTGAAAACAAAGAATTTTACATCTTCTGAACATAAAAATGTGCCTTATCCCATGATTCTAGAGTTCCTTGATCGAGTATTGATAAATGAAAAAGTATTAGAAAGAAGGTATGGGAAATTGTGATTATTTTTTAAAATTTAAAGTAAAAGTTGTACATGCCCATGATAAAAGTGTTGATTACACGCAGATATCAAATGAAAAGTAATATAATAAATATGTTTATACTTTTGATTACACATAATGGATCGATCGTATTGGCATTATACTTTCTTCTGTACCTTAGTTTTTTCCTACTTAATATCATATCTTACTTTATTACAGCACATACATCCTTCCCGATCTTTTTAATGTCTGTATCAAACATGTGCATAAACATATTTTAAAATTCCCTAGGCATTTAGATTGTTTCTAACTTTCCATTACAGCAATAAGTAGCTGCCTGGATAGATGATAGAGCATTGAAAAATCACTGTATATGATTTTATATACAAAGTATCTATTCATAACGTGCTTACCAAAACAATATTAAGTTAAACAGCGAACACTTGTTTGTTAAACTGTTTATGCGTAGTTCAGTAGTTGACGACTTGAAGCAGTTATGAAAGAGAACAAAAAGGCAATCGGATGAGCCTTGGCCTCTTTTCCCAAGCCTTTGCATAATCAAGCGATCTTTCTGTTTCTCACACCCAGATTCCACACCACGTGAAGCCCCTGCCGTATTATAGCTACGACCAGCCGGTGATCGGGTACTGCCAGGCTCACCAGCCGCTCCACATCGGCAAGAGCTACGACGTGGTGTCTCCGGAGCAGGACGAAAGCCCCCGCCTGGAGCTCGGGCGAGACCACAGCTACATCGCCACCATCGCCAGGTCTGCGGCACCCGCCATATACCTGGAGAGAATAACAAACTAACTGGGACGCCAACTCCTCATTGGGGAACTCGCCGGGGGGGAGGGAGGGCCTTCATCTTCAAGGAGAATGGGTGTCCAAATCGCGGGATCCAGCAAGCTCATCGTTCCTGTTCCAACATTTACGGCATAGAGAAAAGAACACACTAAAACAAAACTGCTCACAGAGGGCAGCCGGTGCACCTGCGGCAGAGCTGGGAGAACTACGGAACTTTCTTTGCTTTAAAACATAAACAAAAATGCTCCCGGATGTAAATAGTAAGAACGTCAAGTTCTTATAAAAATAGATTTCACCCTAGCTACATATAGGTTTGTTTGTATATTTGATTTTTCTACACTGCATGGTTCCTAGGCCGGAGAACCACAGGGGGCAAATAAACGAGGGTGGGCGGGAGTTGGGGAAACAACCCGGTTTTCCTTGTTCGGTGTGTGTAACTCTCACGGACTTGATTTCAATTGCTTTCGTTTTATTTTTCCTTTACAAATGCTGTTTCTTCTTGTTTCTTTTTATTGTTTGTTTGTTTGTTTCCTTCCTGGTCAAGTGATTCTGTTTCTAATTTCTAAACATAGGCCTTACAGCTTATGTTGTACCAAAAGAATATTTGCTTTACCACAGACCACAAAGAATGAAAGTTGACCACCAAGTTTGACAAAACCACAGGAAGGAAAAATCCAATGAATTTGTGCGAATATCCCTTGTACTTGACATTAGGAGTTTTGTTTGACTCCCATTGGCAGCCCTCACAGGGTAGGAAGCCAAAAGATGTGAAGAACTCCCGCGGAGAAGACCAGCTGAATTCCTCTCACGTGGACTGGGGGACATGAGAACAACGGCCATGTGGTCAATGGTTGAAACTGCCAAACTGACACATTTCTAAACACAAGATAATGTGTAACATTGCTTTTTAAATTAATTATCAATATTAGCTTTTGTGTAGTTTTTATCAATAAAAGAAGTTGAAGAATAAATATATTATTTTGTGGCTGGTATACCACAGCCCTCCTAATGCTGGATACTTTATCTCTGTCTTGTGGAATGCTGGAGATTATAATAGGGCAATTTGGCAAGAATTAGTTGGTGTCTATTAAGTGCCTTCTGTGGGCTCTATGGTCAGCTGGGGAGGCCCTGTGAGGTGTGGAAAAGTATTATGAGATGTGGCTTATGCCCTAACATGTTTCACAATTATATTTAGAGACATACGTCCTTACTCTAAGAAAATTCAATGACAAAATGAGTAAAAACCAAGTATGGATTATATACAAGAGAAAGAACTATATGGACACTGATTACCATCTAGAAAGAGACATAGTGATCACTCTTTTTATTTTTGAAAGAGTCAGGGCTTGGGCCTGGACGGCAGTTGTAATAATCATAGCTCACTGGAGCTTCCCAGACCTGAGCTCAAGTGATCTTCCAGCCTCAGTCTCCTAAATAGCTGGATAGCTGGGACTATATCACCATGCCTATCTCTCTCTCTCTCTCTCTTTTTTTTTTTTTTTTGTAGAGACAGAGTCTTGGGGTTCTGATTCTGTTGCTTGGTCAGGCTGGTCTGGAACTACTGGCCTCAAGCAATCCTCCTTCCTAGGCCTACAAAGGATCTGGAACTATAGGCATGCACCACCACTTCTGGCCCTATTTTTAAATAAAGGAGGTCACCATGAACATGTCAGTTGATCCTTGTCCTGACTTCCTTAGTCCTGTGACACTCTGTCTTAGTAATTCTCTTACTAACAATGCTCTATCCATTGGTAGGATTAAATTAACATCATTTTAAAACCAAATTGAACTATCAAATTGTGTAAACCTTTATTACAACTAATTTTATATTTCAAAGGGTGCTACTATACAGCAATGCAACTGAGTATCCCTGAGCATTAAATTGATGGCTCCCATTCATTTCATTCCAAATTCTAATAAAACAATTTAAAAAGAACTTTGTAAATACCTTCACATCAGAGTAAGCTAACAGATTTCTGAACATGGGTTTTTTGTTTGTTTGTTTGTTTTGTTTTTTTCCTCAAAGCCATTTTGTTTTACTACCATCTTAAGTTAGATTTCAAATTAAATTTGATCATACTTGATAAAAGATTACACCATATTGTAAAAATCAGTCAAGGGAATTTTTTTCACATTGGAACACAGGGCCATTGCTAGTAAATTCTGGCTAAGGTTCCTTTTAACCTTTATAATCTGGGTTACATATGTGTTCTTAACCATTCAAGTAGAATGAACTGACAATAAGCTTAAATATTAAAGATAATTCTTAGACATTGTAATTTTTTTCTTCACAAATTATTCAATGGATGTGGAGCAATTCTTCCCATGTTATAAAGATTTCTTTGGTGGCTGTCTTTTCAAATTACAAGAATTCTCTTACCCCTTCCCATCTTCTCCATCTGTCCCACATCACACATACACTACCATTCCACCCACGCCAGTGTTTATTTGCCAGAGCTCGTACCTGAAAAGTCTTGATCAAAGTTGTCGGGAGAGAGCTCCAGTTTATTTGTTTCTTATAATCAAAAAATTCCCAAATGGATACGATTCTTTATGTCATTTAAAACTGCCATATTTGGTCAACACTTGGCTCAAGGTTAACACGAAATGGTAATGTTAACTGTGAAAATTCTGCAACCTGCAAATAGAAAAAGCTTTTCAAAGAACTTATTTTAAATATCATTTACACATGCTAGACAAGTTTACACTGAGATTTGGGAATCCGTTGTTGATTGAAATAAACAAAACACTCTCCCAACCAACTTTCTTGAGTAGACTTGAAAGTCTTTAGTGGAAAAATTCAGGCTTTATGTTATATGAGGAGTCAAGAAGGTTTTTAGAGAAAACAGCATCTTAAATAAAAAGATAGTGATATTTCAAAAGAGGTCTTAAGAAACAAATATTGGCTTATTGATCCTTTAAGCCCCAAAGTCAATCATTTTTATGCTGCCAGCATGGTCTAACCAAGGAGGATGAAAGGCTTCTGCTAGTCGCCACTCACAATAAATTATTGTCTGGACCTCTAAAAGACGGAGAGCAAACATGTCTGTGCAGGTTGCTTTCATCCTCTTCCTGGGACTTTCATGTGCTTTGCTATGCAAACGGATTGCCCTACAGCCCTTTACCTTCAGCACAGAAGAGTGTTTCTAATTTGGAATTGTGGCCCTGGCTAATACAAAGATTTTTTGCTGTCTTCTAGAAGTCAGGATTTATGTTGATTCTACTTATTTTTTATGTTGAAATGTTAAAGAGCCCTCTCAAAAAAAGTTATACTTTATTTTAAGACTATCCTAATTAGTAATTTGATTTTACACTATAATGTTTATTGAAATTCTGAAGGCTATGCAGGTTTCAATTTCAAAGTTGAGGAATCTCATGGAGTATTTACAGAGCAAGGGTATTAAAATGAGGCCTTAAGGCAATTATGAATGTGACACATTCAGATCGGAATAGCCTATTATCCAAACACTTGGGTTAATTTTTTCATAAATATTCTTACTTATGCTGAGTTTGCTTTTACTTATTGCAACATTCAATGAGGAAAGATCTAAGAGCAGAGGCCTGATTTGTGTGTGTATGGGTGTAACTGTGGTGTGACTTTCCATCCCGTGTCGCTCTACTCACAATATTTTAGTATATGACTTTCTAAAACTCAGGATATAAATAATAAAAAAAAAAATCATTTGTAGGATGCCAAAACACCCAGGTAATTCAAAAGTGGAAAGTAGACAAAGTTATAATGTTTTCATATAGTTTCACTCAATAATGAAACAGTATGAGAGGACAGACAGTCCCAGGAGGACCCTGGAGCATCTGTCACGGACCTTTCTACCGCACGCACTTTCATCAGTAGCTTGAGTGCAAATGTGGCAGACCGAAATTACAAAGTGATTGATGCATAAAACTGGAAAATGACAGAAAAAGTAGTATCTCAACCTGTAAACATTTACACTTTACACAATCAATACATCTTAATTACATTTGGGAATTTTGGCTGATAGATGTCTTAACAGTACTCAGTAATGTAACAAAACCACCAAAGCAAAACAAATTATACAAGTGTCCCCCTTGAGTAGGAGTGGTAATGTTCAAATCTATACTTTGCTTGTCAAAACACACCTGGAACTTAATATTGGCGTCCTGCTTCCAAGGGGACATCTGTAAGTACAGCAATAAGAATGTTGAAAGTTACTAAATCCTTAAGTCCCTGCTTGATGAAAAACCGAGAGCAGAATCCTTCATAGGGTGAATCTATTCAAGCTTTACAGAGGCAGGCAGAAAGGAGTAGGAAAGAGAAGCAGATTCCCTGATCTACAGGCCCACAGGAGGCAAGCGGCGTTGGCAATGAATTGCTTAACTGCAGAATCCAAGGCTCTGTGGAAAGAACCTGCCTAGGTTTCTGTCGAGCTCCTCACCCTGTACCTCTCTAATTTCTGAAGACACTTGGCTTCTCATGAAGGCATATTTGCCACACCCCATGCTACACAACCTTTAATTGCCTTTAATTCCAAAGAGCATAAACAGTTTGAGTTCAGAAACTTGAGTTGTCCATCACTGAAGCTGAGTTTTAATTTTACTCAGTCCTAGTGCCCACCCATATGTCAACATGCCTCAGCACTGTGCCCATAACAAAATTCTGTACCTGCAGCTCATTTTCTTCCCCAGAGTTCTGAATTTCTCCCTTCTTGATATATCTTTAGTGTCCTGGTTCCTCTAACACTGAACACTTTTTCACTTGCCCATATCACCAGCCACTTGATTTCTGCCTGGCAATTTCAGCCACTTGGTACCAAACCTGCTTTGATGATCTCTGTTCCTTCAACACCCAGAGTGTCCCACAGGACCAGTGTTTGCGTCCACCTGTGGAGCCCCTCAGGCAGCGCCCTTCTCCCTTAACTCGATGCTCTCCGAGCTTGCTACTCTCCTTCCCTTGCACTATCACTGAGCTTGCACTGTTCCAGGAGTAAAATCCAGTTTCCAAACACTGCCCATCCTCCTCAGTTAAGGTCTGAGTTTCCATTCTGATCTAACATGCCAGATCAGGAGTTCTCAGATGTTAGCACATATCACAGTTACTTGAAAGGCTTTTAAAACAGATTTGTGGGCCCCACCCCAGGATGTCTGATTCAGCAGGTCCAGAATGGGGTCCAAGAATGTTCTTTTCTAATAAATACTCAGGTGATGTTGAGGCTGCTGATATGGGAACCACATTTTAAGAACTTTTGACATAAAGCACACATATTTACATCCCTTTCAGTGGTTCTCAACCTTCCTAATCCTGTGACCCTTTAATATAGTTCCTTATGTTGTGGTAACCCCCAACCATAAAATTATTTTCATTGCTACTTCACAACTGTAATTATGCTACTGTTATGAATCATAACGTAAATATGTGATATGCAGGATGTATTTAGCCTACTCCTGTGAAAAGGTCTTTTGACCCCTAAAGGGGTCTCCACCCACAGGTTGAGAACCACTGCTTAGGTTGATGACTTTGTACAGGGACTCAAAATTTGCATTTGATATTTAATTAGGATTTAATATGACGTGAATCTTTAACATAAGAATTAATTAAAAACAAGTAGCTTTTAATTTTTTATGCAATCATGCTATATGAAAGATGCATACCTTGGACGGCACCTGTGGCTCAGTGAGTAGGGCGCCAGCCCCATATACCAAGGATGGTGGGTTCAAACCTGGCCCCAGCCAAACTGCAGCAAAAAAATAGCCGGACATTGTGGTGGGCACCTGTAGTCCCAGCTACCTTGGAGGCTGAGGCTAGAGAATCACCTAAGATCAGGAGTTGGAGGCTGCTGTGAGCTGTGACGCCATGGCACTCTACCCAGGGCAATAAAGTGAGACAGAGTCTAAAAAAGAAAGAAAGAAAGATGCATACCTTTACATAAAGGGTATTTTTTCTTTCTTTCTTTCTTAGAGAGAGAGTTTCACTTTATCACC